ATATGACAATTACGTTATATGAGTGTGATTTGTGTTATTTGGTACAAGATTTTTACAGTCTTTTAAAATTATCCGGGGGGCTCGGGCCACCCCTCGCCCCCTCCCCTAGTGTCCGCCACTGCTTCTCTTCATTAAATATTACATAATATGAAGGTGCAAGCTAACTGTAATAACCTTGTAGGGTTAGACGAGACAGTTAAGACGCAATTATTTTTAAATATTTACAGTTTTACATATGAGATATCAGTACTTGCTCCGAGCGGCTACAGAAAGATCATACGTTGTACTTCTTATTAAATGTCTTCCATTCAATCACAATTTTTGAAGAACAGCACTGACCATGCATTAGGTTTTTAGATAACCAAGAAACAAAATTTCATTAAACATGTCAAAAAGTGTGTGTGTGTGTGTGTGGGGGGGGGGGATAATTAGATATTCGTCCCCCCCTACTCCAAAAACTGGGGGGTACTATCCTGTACTGTACTTGTACTATCCTGCAAATTTTATTTTTTTAGAGCAATATTATTAATATTAAAACAACCATTATATATCACAAATATTATTGGCTTGCTACCACTGCCACCTTCGCCACCACTGCCACCACCGCCACCACCGCCTCACTACCTCAACTGCTACTGCTGCATATATATTGTACTATCCTGCAAATTTTATTTTTTTAGAGCAATATTATTAATATTAAAACAACCATTATATATCACAAATATTATTGGCTTGCTACCACCGCCACCACCGCCACCATCGCCACCACCGCCTCACTACCTCAACTGCTACTGCTGCATATATATTGTACTATCCTGCAAATTTTATTTTTTTAGAGCAATATTATTAATATTAAAACAACCATTATATATCACAAATATTATTGGCTTGCTACCACTGCCACCTTCGCCACCACCGCTACCACTGCCACCATCGCCTCACTACCTCTTGAAACTGCTACTGCTGCATATATATTGTACTATCCTGCAAATTTTATTTTTTTAGGGCAATATTATTAATATTAAAACAACCATTATATATCACAAATATTATTGGCTTGCTACCACTGCCACCACCGCTACCACTGCCACCATCGCCTCACTACCTCTTGAAACTGCTACTGCTGCATATATATTGTACTATCCTGCAAATTTTATTTTTTTAGGGCAATA